TTTTGTGACCTGGGAGGGAGGGAGATGCCAGCCAGTGAGAAGAACAAGAAAACACTTGAAGTAAAACCTTCAGCATGCCTTCGCTTTGAAACCCCGACCTCCCCTCTCAGGTTCAGGCCCAGGCCAGCACCCTCCCACTGCGTTCTGGCTCTGCCGCTGCTCCCCACGCACAGGGGCTCCTGCTCTGCCTCTGTGTCTGGGCCAGAGCAAAATAGATGCCTGGAGCTCAGCCAGCCCCTGGGTTGCTGCCCGGAGTATGGTCAGGTGCCCAGGCAGCAGGAAGGGGCTAGAAGAGGGGCTAGAAGCCAGTGGGGAAGGTGTGGGGTCAGGGGAGAAAGAAAGAGAGAAAGAACAGGGTGGGGGGTACAGAAAGCCAGCGACAGAGAAGCACAAGAGATCAGTCTGGCCTGTCCGCCCTTCTGCCCTTCCTTGTCCTCTCCCACTTCCATGGGGCCTTGGGTGACCTCAGAGCTTTGGTTTTCTTGGCTGGGAAACAGGACGATGCCCATCTCACAGGGAAGGTGGGAGGCTAGAGATGAGGGGTGTCAAGGATCTTCTCAGTGCCCAGCCCTGAGAGGGCAGTTCGGCCTTCCTTCCTCTGTCCACCTAAAATCTGCCCTGATCTTTGTCCACCAGGAGAGCTGAAGCCTGCGGTAGGCTCCAAGCCAGCCTGCCTGAACCCCCTCCTGGCCCTACAGCCTTTTCCCTGGGGCCCTGGGCTGTGGCTTGGCCCCTGTGACCCAGCGGTTCCTCTTCTATACCTGAGGTGACCACAGCCCTGTCCCATGCTCAGTGAGTCCCCACAGAGGGGTGCTTAGTACAGGGCTCCCACGGGTCCCCATACTCAGGGACAGGTGGGGTGGGGGGCTCCCCAGCCATGAGTCTGTGCCCAGAGGGTCCCAAGGGAGCACCCAGGGGAACCAGGGCCACCAGGTGCCTCTGTCGCCTCCAGGAAACCAGGACTGCTGTCAGGTGTTTACTGCTTGGTAAACATTTTGATGTTTCATTCATGAAACTTGCCTTTCCTGCGGCCTCCTGCAGTACAGAGACGAGTGAAGAATTTAATGAGAGCTGGGCCTGTGGTCCCTCAACAGCTCCAAGCATGTGGCTCCCAGGAGGTCGCGTCTGCCCTCGGAGGAGGAGTCCCCATCCCCATCCCGTAGGTCACAGAGCGGGAGGGACGTACTGCACAGGGAGGTGAAGTCGAGTCACCGCAGTATATACAAACACACACAGTCAATGGATGGGAATAACAGTGCAGGCTTAGTCTTGCTGTTTTCCAGGCTGGAGTGCAATGGTGCAAATCTCAGCTCACTGCAACCTCTGCCTCCCAGGTTCAAACAATTCACCTGTCAGCCTCCTGAGTAGCTGGGACTACAGACGCACACCACCATACCCAGCCAATTTTTAGTAGAGAAAATCAGAGGACAATATGGGGTTTCACCATATTGGCCAGGCTGGTCTCGAACTCCTGACCTCAGATGATCCACCTGCCTTGGCCTCCCAAAGTGCTAGGATTATAGGTGTGAGCCACAGCACCCAGAGTCAGTTCAGGCTTTTCAAAGCACGTAGTAGGTGCACCACAAAGAGAAAGGAAGGAAGAAAGGAGGGGAAGGAGGGAGGGAGGGAGATTCCACTCACAGATGTGTCTTGGTTTACAGAATGATCCTGTGGATTGAGGGGGTGGCTGCTGTTATCTCTACTTTCTAGATGTGGAAACAAAGGCTCAGAGAGATTAAGCAACCTTCCCAAGAACACACAGCATCAACACATACTCCTGACTCCTGGGGAGCACTGACTCTGCCTCTCCTTTGACAATCAGGGGAGCTCATACGCAGGGAAGGGAAGTGATGAGACTGAAGGCACGAGCCAGTGTGATGCCAGGGTTGTCAGGACGTGCACCCAGGACTTCTATGACCCAGGACAGGCTCAGCCCCTGTACCCAACCTTCCTCCTTCCTCTAGGTCACTCTGTACCCCCTTTCTCCTCCTCCTCCCACCCCAAAGCCTGCAACAGCCCCCCTCCGCCCCGCACCCTGTCCACAGTCTTGGGAGACCAAATGTCTGGATCTTGCCAGGCAAATGAAGATATGCTGTCCCTTCAGCCCTTTTTTTTTTATTATTATTATTTTTTGAGACGGAGTTTCGCTCTTGTTACCCAGGCTGGAGTGCAATGGCGCGATCTCGGCTCACCGCAACCTCCGCCTCCTGGGTTCAGGCAATTCTCCTGCCTCAGCCTCCTGAGTAGCTGGGATTACAGGCACGTGCCACCAAGCCCAGCTAATTTTTGTATTTTTAGTAGAGATGGGGTTTCACCTTGTTGACCAGGATGGTCTCGACCTCGTGATCCACCCGCCTCGGCCTCCCAAAGTGCTGGGATTACAGGCGTGAGCCACCGCGCCCGGCCCCTTCAGCCCTTTACAGCCCCCAGTGAGATGTTCTCCTTCTGCGTCCTGTCCCCACCAAAGGCCGGGGGAATAAGGATACTCAGCAGATGTTCCACATTATCCCAGAAGCGAGCCACACAACCCTCTGACACCAGGACTCCAGATTGCCAAGCGCAGTACTGAAATACCTCTTAGCACACTGACGTTAGACCTCACTGTCAGGCCTCTGCTTACCTGCCTCCTGTGACGGGGAGCCCACTCCCCGAAAGTCACCCACCATATTGAGAGAGCCCTGTTTGAAAGCCTTTCCTTAGCCTTCATCTGAAATCTGCCCCTGTGACAATGATTCTGTCCTAAATGCAATTCCTGGGGTACACAGGATCACGTTTTCCTTTCTCCTTTTGATCTAAGGTAGCTCTTTAAATATTTGAAGGAATTATGCTTGTCACTCATTCATTGTCCACCTCATTGTTTACTTGGAGGTAATATCATAGTTTTGTTCATTCCTCCATCCGCCCATCCATTCATTCATTCATTCATTCATGTGACTGAGTGGCAGGCCCTGGGCTGCCTTCTGGGGTACAGCCATGAACAAGCCACAATCCCCACCTGCAAAATGTCCCCAGCAGAGTGGGGGAGATCACAAATAAACCCACAATCATACAAAATGTTTAAGTGCTATGATAGAGGTGCAAATAGCTGGGGGAGCCCAGAGAAGGCCCTGGGAGTATGGAGGCGTGAAGGGCAGAGACAGCAAGGAATGTCTTAGGGTCAGAAGTTGGAGAGAGACTCCGCCACATCCTGGGAACTGGAATCAGGAGGGAGCAGGCTGGAGCTGGGCAGGGATGGGGTGGAGGGGTGGCTGCAATCAAACTATGCAAGTCGGTGGAGGCCATGCTTCCCACGTGACCCTGTAGCCCTGTACCCCACCTGGATTGCCTCTGCATTCTGGACAGCCCAGGAGGCCAGAGCCCAGCATAACCTTGGTGTTCAGAGGTAGAAGTGAGACCCAAGGGACCTCGGAGCCAGGAGCAAAGTAGAGAAAAGGTTGCAAGGGACTCAGGAGTCCAGGCCAGGACTGGGAGCCGGGCCAAGGCAGGAGGACAAAGGGCCCCTGTCCTGTGCTGTGAGGAATACATGTATTTCAAGCCCTGCAGGAGTGCCAGGCCCTGTGCCAGTTTTCCCATGTGCAGCATCGAATCTGGCCCTCACTACTGCCCTACAGGACACGGCTGATTAATCCCCCTGAGAGGTAAGCCGAGGGAGGCACCTTCACGGTTCACCTCCCGTCACTCCCACAGCAATCCTGCAGGGAGGGGGTCATTAGTTCTATTGGGGGTTTGGAGCCTTTTCCTAGCTCACGTGGGACTCCAACCTGAGCTCAGCCTATGTCCAGGACTCCACTGGGGCCGTGGCCAGGGAGGCTAGACTGTCGTGACAAGGAAAGACCTTGGCCTTGGGCTCAGGCTCTGGAGCTGCCCAGCCCTGCCCGGGGCTCACTTCCTAAAGACCAGGATCACTGGGCCAAACAGATTGCTCAGGTCTGGGCCAAACAGACCCAGGTTTGAGTCCTGCCACAGGACTTGCCAGCTGCTGCCTGACCAGCCTATGGGCTCCAGAGATCAGAGGGGCTGTCAGATGCAGAGTTCAAGTCTTGGTTCCGACACTGAGCAGCTGTGCCCTGGGAAAGCCACATAAGCTCTTGAGTCCCAGTGTCCACATCTGTAAAATGGGGTGATAACAGAGCCTGTCATCAGCTGCTTGTGAGGGGCCATTAACCATGGGGTGGGTGTAGCAGAGCATTCAGCACAGCAAGTGCCCCACCAGTGGCAGACCAGATACTTACCTCCACCTCATGGTTCCCGGGAAGCCCTGAGACTGTCTCCAGTGGAAGGAGCCCTTGGGTGATGAATGAATCCCCCCTCACTGCATGATCCTCCCTGAGCCGTTGATTCCTTATCTATAAAACAGGGCTGGTGACACACATTTCACAGGGCTGTGCCGAGAATAAATCTGAGACCCTGAGAACCCCGCCCCAGTGCCTGGCAGCAGACGGGGCCTAGGGGGTACAGTACGGTCCCCCAGTTACCCAGCGAGCTTGCCCCTGTCACTGCTGCAGAGGGATTTCCTGTCCCTGAGTCTCCAAGGGGAACCTGAGAGGGGGTTTCTTCTCTATGCAAGATTGGAAGGCATTTGGTGTGTTGGACATAATCCCATGAGCAGCTATTTGTCACATGCAGGTGATAAGCAAAGGGATTTCCTGTCCCTGAGTCTCCAAGGGGAGCCTGAGAGGGGGCTTCTTCTCTACGCAAGATTGGAAGGCATTTGGTGTGTTGCTCATAATCCCATGAGCAGCTATTTGTCACAGGCAGGTGATAAGCAAAGCAGTCTACATGGTTACTATCCCACTGAATCTCGCCACAGCCCCAACATGACAGAGACAGGATGCCCCTACTTTGCAAATGAGCAGGTCAGAGGTGCACAATGACCGACCCGAGGCCCCACGGGCGGCAAACAGTGAGGCCCAATCAGAACCTGGCCACCAGCCCCACCGACAGTGGGCTCTCTCAGCCACCCACCCTCGCTGCAGAAATAACAGTGATGAATGACCAGAGGTGGCAGTCCCAGATGGAAAGCTGAGAGGACAGAGTCCTGTGCTTTCTCTCCATGAGACCCAGCTCCTCCACATCTGGCTGCTGCCCCCGACGGACTTTCCAGGACACCATCTCCCACTGTTTGATCTTTTGAGCTGAGTAAGCCCCAGGATAGGAGGTAAGATGGGCGTTTGCTTAAATTTCTGCAAGACAGGGGTCAGGGAGAGGCCAGCCAGGTTGGAAGAGGGGCGGGGTAGGGAGTCAGCATGAGAGGTGGAGGATGCCTATCCAGTCCCTCCTGCGCTGGCTGCCCCTTGCTCTTGGCAACTTAGTATCCCTGTTCGCCTCTCCCTCACATGGTTACAGCTGCAACAGAAAAACAGATCTGCTTGCACTGTGAATATGAACAGAGGGGAGATGATCGCTGCTTGGGGACCATAAAGGGTTCCCTCACCTAATAGGAAGGGGCTGGTAGAAACAAAGGGTACAAGCTTTGGGCTATATTTTGGGATCGAGTCACCTAACCTTTCTGGGATCAGTTTTCTCATATCTGTAAATCGAGATGATAGGTCACGCCTTAGAAGGAAGTGTGATAATAACACATGTAGAAATCCCATGGCTGGGCAAGCCTGCAGCAACACCCCGGTAAGTCCCAGCTGCTACTTTATTTACGTTATTGTTAAAATAGCAATCATCTGGTCCAAGCCCCCTAATTGTACAGAGAGGGAAACTGAGGCCCAGAGACAGCAGACCTCAAAATTGTGAGGAGGGGAGCCTGAAGGAGATCCTGGGTCTCCTGAGTCTGCAATCCAACCTTGCTGGGTCTCAGCCCCAGTGAGATTCAGGGAGTCCTCAGAGGAGCCAGATAATCCCCACTTTCGAGGGGTAATTTTTTTTTTCCATGTGACTAAATTTTCTTTTGTGTCTTCTGTTTTTCTTTTTTTTAATTTTAAGTTCTGGGGTACATGTGACGTTCGTGCAGGCTTGTTACATAAGTACACACATGCCATGGTGGTTTGCTGCATCCATCCCCCCGTCACCACCATTAGGTATTTCTCCTAATGTTATCCCTCCTCAATCCCCCCACTACTCAAGGGGTAATTTTCTAAGAGAGGAAACACTCATAGTCTCTGGCATCAGATCCAGAGTCTGGCAGTCCCGTCAAGGGCTCCCTGTAAGGGAGAGGGGTCTGGGAAACAGCCCAGAGCCCAACAGGGCCTCTGCAGAGACCTAGATACCCATTTAGCTCCTGTGCCTGCTGGGAATGATGCCAGACAGTAAGTCTGCCAATGCTGTGCTCAGATTCAGCCCTGCTGCTGACATGCTGTGGGCTCGGGCAAGTTCTTTGCTCTCTGAGCCTCAGTTTTTTCATCTGTGAAGCGGGAATACAATATCTACTGTATGGAGGGCTGTGAGGAATAAACGTAGTCATTTATGTGGGGTGCCCGGCACGCAGTAGGAGCTCTAGTGCTCTTCCCCTCAGCCCTGACTAGCCTGGTAACCTGGATGACCTCTGAGGGATAATCCTCTGAGGGAAATGGCCTCAAGGCTTCCACCCTCCTCCCTGGCACAGCAGCTGGGGCTCCAGCAGGTCACATCTTCTATATGCACTCCTTACAGATCAACACTGGCTTGCTCTGAGGGCCAGGCTGGGTGGCAGTGGGTGGGGGTGGGTGCCATAGTCATTCAGAGGAGATGCGGGGGTGGGTAAGGGTCGCCAGAGAGAGGGAGACTCCACCCCTCACTGATTCAAGATGGTGGTGAGGAGATGGATGGTAATTATTTGGTGACGAATATTATATCAGGCACCTACTGTGTGTCAGACATTTAAGCACGTTACACATGTTTTAAGCATTTACTCTTCCCAACAACTCTAAACAGTTGGTATCAATATCATCCCCATTTTGTAGGTGAGAAAACTGAGACCCAGAAAGCTTCAGCAACTCACCCAAGGTCATGTGGTTGGTAAGTTACAATGTTAGAATTCAGATCAATAGGTCTAGAGTCTACATTTCTAGCCACAAAGCTATAATGACAGTGAAATAATGGACACCAATGACAACAGCAGCCAACCGTTATTAGCTGTTGACAGAGTGCCCAGATGTTTAAGCCCTTTACATTATCTCTGTTAATTTTCACTGGTGTTCCTATGACGAAGGCAATATTTCCCCCTATTTTGCAGATGGGAAACTGAGACTCAGAGAGGCGAAATGATATGGTTTGGCTCTGTCCCCACCCTAATCTCATCTTCAATTGTAGTTCCCATAATCCCCATGTGTGACGGGAAGGACCTGGTGGGAGGTAATTGACTCATGGGGGCAGTTACCCTGATGCTGTTCTCATGATAGCGAGTGAGTTCTCACAAGATCTGAGGGTTTTATAAGGAGCTTTCCCCGCCTTTGCTCAGCACTTCTCCTTCCTGCTGCCACGTGCAGAAGGACATGTTGGCTTCCCCTTCTGCCATGACTGTAAGTTTCCTAAGGCCTCCTCAGCCCTGTGGAACTGTGAGTCAATTAAACATCTTTCCTTTATAAATGACCCAATCTCAGGTAGTTCTTTATAGCAGCACGAGAATGAACTAATACACGGAGTAGCTGGCCCAATGGCTCAGTGATGGAACTGGAATTTGAACATAGCTCTGTCCAAATCCTGTGCTTTTAATATCTTTAGAAGGCACAGGATGGAGTCAGGAGCCCTTCTCTGCTCCTCACTCACTGTGTGACCTTGGGCAAGCTGCTCACCTATCTGATCCCTGCCAGCCCTCAGAGTATATTCCACTCCTTCCAATTGCCATGCCCTTCCCCTTCATATATGCCTTTTGGAGCCACCTCCCTCCTTTACACACACCTATAGCCCACATGCCCCTTGAAACTACCCATCCAAACCAACTCCCCAGATACTTCTCCCTACCCTCAGCCCAGGAAACCACCTACCCAAAGTGACCACCTGTGGCTCCTCAAGTCTTGTGAAGTGTCCAGCCTCCCTTCTGGTAATCAGAGCAGACATTGTGATTTCATCTCCAGGTCTCCCTTTTTCTCTCTTGTCCCCCCCACTTTCACGTCCTATATGAACAATTACCAAGCCTCTTCTTTCCTCTACAGAACAGAGATCAGAAGCATAGGCTCTGGAGAGGAGCAGACTCAGTCTCGGGAATCTCAGCTCTGCCACTTGCTGTGTGATCCTGGACCAGTTTCTTTACCTCTCTGAGCCTTAATATCCCTGCAAATTGTGGATAACAATAGTACCTACCTTACAGAGTGGCTATAAGACTTAAATATGATTATGTATAAAATGCCTGAGCAGTAGAAATTCTCAGTCAATGATAGCTGGTAGTATTATTATTCTCTGCCACTCCTCCACATTTCAGCTGCCCCACCCTAGTTCAGGCTCCCATCTTATCTCCGTCCTTGCTTAATGAAATGACCTCCTCCTCCTCCCCTGGTCCCTGCTGAGATTCCCCCTCATTCTTATCCATTTGCACACTTGCAGCCACTGACTCCAACCTTTCTCAGCTCCAAGACTTTCTTCCCCAGCCTCTGCCAGGGGCTCTCACTGGAAGGACTTAGCCTGGCATTCAAGTTTCTTCCCCTTTGCCCCATCAACCACAACCTGCCCATGCAGCCACGGCTCCCAAGCTTCTCTTCCGAAGGGTGGCCAAGGCAATCCCAGCTCCCCCATAGCCCCAGGATCCCTGGCAGAGGTTTACCTGTGGCAGCCCTTTGCTCAGACTGTTTCCTAGGCTGAGAATATCCTTGCATTTATCTTCACATCTCCATATCCCAGTGAAACTTCCAGACCTACTGGAGTGCCTCCTCCCGCAAGAAGTCTGCTCTGGGCCTGCTGCATTGTCACTGGATAAGATTTCTTCCTCTATTTCCTCATCCTGACTTCCAGAACAGTTCCCTGGACTTTCCTTGTCTACAGCACTTACCACCGTGTATCCAAATGGTCAGTGTATACATATTGTATATTCTCTGCTTTGAAAGTATGGTGAATTAAAGATGGAATTCTTTGCTATTCCTTCAGTCAAGAAGTGGGCACTAGGTCCCCTCCCACTGAATGTGAGCTGGTCTGTGACTGCTTTGACCAACTGAGTATGGTAGAGGTGACATTAAGCCAGGTCTGAGTCTAGACTTCAAGGGGTCTGGCAGCTTCTGCCTTGGTCTTGTTAATTTAAAAATCACACTGGACTTAAAAATCACACAGTTTACAGTGGGCATGATGGCTCATGCTTATAATCCCAATACTTTGGGAGGCCAGTGAGGGAGGATTGCTTGAGGCCAGGAGTTTGAGGCCCGCCTGGGCAGCATAACAAGACCCCCATCTCTACCAAAAAAATATTAAAATTCTCCAGGCATGGTGGTATGTGCCTGTACCCCCAGCTATTCAGGAGGCTGAGGTGGGAGGATTCCTTGAGCTCAGGCATTCAAGGATGCAGTGAGCAATGATCATGTCACTGCACTCCAAGCTGGGCAACAGAGCAAGACCCTGCCTCTGATTTTTTTTTAATTTCACAATTTATAAATTTGGAAAGGAGACTTTAATTCTTATAAATGATTACAGCCTGCAAGGTGGTCATCTCAGAAGCTAAGAAGCATCGCCTCCAACCAAAGCCATTACCAGGCCTTCCAAAGGAGAGCAGGATAGGACAGAAATTTAAGCTGAATAGGTTGGCCAAACATACATATTCAACCGTTTGTGGGAGGAGCTGTGAATATTCATAAAGGTAGTCACAAAGGCATTTAAATGTGCGGTCTCTGTAAACCGGCCATGTAGCTAGCCTTCTTATCAGGAGAAAATTACTGAAATCAGTCTCTTGTCCAATCAAAGCTGTAGTTATGGCTTGCGGAACTGGGAGTCAGTTAGTTGGTGTCTGGTGGTCGGTGAGCCGTAACTGCTCTAACATTGCTTATCTGAAGGTCAGTGCTTGTTTGGCTGATAGAGAAAAAAGAAACCCTGTGGCAATTCGAAGGTAGATTATTCTTTAAGTGTAGGGGTGTGGGACTTAACTCTTGCCTGGCATGGCCTTAGGTCCTGGTTATAATCTGGTATCTTACTGCCACGAAGAATCCATCTGTCAGTCTTATTGTCACTATTTTACCATTAATGCTGGTCAGCTGTTATGTCTAACTACAAAAGGAAGCAGGTATAATAACTAGGCATGTCAGACTTCCTACCCTGTCAAGGCGGAAACTCCATTTGTAAGGTTTCTCTGGGGCCCCCTGGGCCAGGAGGGGGTCCCTTTAGTTGATTGCAGGCTTGGGATTTTATTTTTAGTTTACAGTCTCTTGTGGCCCTGTGCCTCCATGTAAGAGCTCCATCCGTCACGATGCTATCATCAAGGCAGGCAGAAGGTTCTGGAGGAGAAGATGCTATGTGAAGAAAGAGCCAAGACGCACCAAAATGCCAAACGGTGAAGACACCATCTTGGAAGGGACCCTCCAGTCCCAGCGTTGCTCCTGGTTGACACCAAGTGGCCCAACTGAGCCCTTCTCAAATTCCCGGCCCACAACATGGTGAGCAAAATAAAATGGTTGTTTTAAGCCACTGAATTTCACGGTAGTTTGTTATGCAGCAATAAATAACTAGAACAGAGTTATCCTCCCTACCCTATGTACTCAGGCCTCTTGGCTCCAACATCGCCTCCTCCAGGAAAGCCCGCCTCGACCTCCAGGTGAGGCCAGACCCTGGATCCTCTGTGCTCATCACACCTCACACCCTGCATCATCACATGTGGTCATCTTCACATCTTGCGGGTGCTTGAATTGTCTCTGTCTCCCCCACCAGAGTGATCCCTCTACTGCCTCGCCACCCTTGGCACAAATGAAGGCTCAGCAAGTAATTGCTAAGTGAGTGAGCACGTCTGTCCCAGCCCCAGGCAGTGGGTAAGGGCAGGAAACGAACCCAGCTAGGCATCTCCAGCACAAGCTCTGATTCCCCCGTAATTACAGGTTGGAGTCCAGGGCCTTGACCACTCTGCCAGCCCTGGCCGGCCTTGTCCCCAGCTCTCTACCTCTGAGGTGGAGGAGCCCCTGTGGTGGCCCTCCCTGGAGAGAGGGACTGGGAATACCTGGGCTGTGGGAGAGGGGGTCTGGGCTAAAGAAGGAGGCACCAGCATCAACTTCCTGCTGCCCGCATGACCCCAACCCACTGTCTGACGTCCCCACAGCCTGTTCTCTGCACCCGCCTCCAGGACGCCTCCTCGGCTCCTTCCTTGACCTCCAGCAGTTCCTTCATCCAGCATCTCCCTGTGGGCCTTTGGCCATGCGGGGACAGCCTGTGAGTCTGGACTCGTCCATCTCTTCATCGCACTCCCTACGCCATGCACTGGGCTTCCGGTACTACAGCAAGGAACTCGCTTAGTCTTTACAACAGCGCTATTTTATTAATTAGGAAACTGAGGTCAGAGAGGTTCAGTGACTTGCCCGCGGTCACACAGGACATGGAAGAAGCGGGCTCCTGCTCTGATTCTCTGGCTTGGATTCCAGGGTTTTTCCTGCTGCCCTGGATGAGGTGACTCAGGGCCCCCCCCCCCCCCTTGGATTTGTAACGTGTTCCTTCCTGATGCCCAGCTGAGAGCTGCCTGCCTGCCCAGAAGCTGATTCCTCCTTCCTTGGAACGCAAGGCCCTCCTGTCTGAGTGTCCCAGATGTCCATGTTGGTGCCAACAGCAACTATGGAGTGGGAGGAGCAAGCGGGTAAGAGAGGGAGAGAAATTCCATCGATGCACTGAGACACAGAGAAGAGACGTCAAGAAAGCCTTTAGGCACACAGACAACACGCGCACCCTGCACACACACCCACACAGAAGGAAAGAGAGAAACACACACGGTGCGAGGTGGGGGCATGGAGATGAGATGATTCCTAGGAAGAGGAAGGAGAGGGGAAAGGAAGAGAAAAAACAGATTCACACTAGGAAGTAAAAACACAGAACAAGAAATACCCAGCAGGAGATAAAGACTCAAAAAAATCAAAGTACACGAAGATACAAAGACAGTTACAGACAAATCCACGAAGAGAGAGCTGTCGTGAGAGGATATAAATGAGAAAGAGGCAGTCTGAGAGAGAGAAGGGGACGCTCACAGGCAGAGGCGGAGGGAGAGGCAGGAGAGAGAAACATGTCGCAACAGACGCAGGCAGAGGGATGGAGGAACGAGCCGAGCCGGGGAAGATGGAAAAGGCCACAGTGAGACCAAAGGGAGAGAATAATAAGCAGAGAGAAAGAGCGATGGGGCGAGGCAGCGGAGGAGCCGCAGACGCCCGAGAGCGCCGGAGCTGGAGCCTACACCTTCCCCTCCTCCCCTCCCCTCCCGCTCCGTCCACCACCACCTGATCCTGCTCACAGCAGCCTGAAATGGAAGCCCCGAGTGGAGAAGTTAATTCTCCCAAGTCCAACGGCCAAGACGTGCTCTGCATTCCGCCCGCGTGCCTTTAGCGACGCGCAGGCGGAGGGGGGTGCACCTGCACCTAGCACGGGTTTCTTCTCCAGAAGGAGAGAGACCTGCCCAGCATTTGGTCACCAAGCCCACGCCCAGAACCACATGATTATACCTGCTAATTTCTAAACCACGGGCAGCTGGAGGTGGGCACAACCCACAGCCCCTCAACAAGCACAGGATGCCCATCAGGGACAAGATGCAGCCCCTGCACTGAGGACCGTCCCCCCCCGACGTGGGAGGCAAACAGTCTTAGGTCCAAATGTCCCTTACTGATCCCCACCTGTGATGACTCACCTGACCTCCCGAAGCCTCCATGACCACCTCTGTGAAACGGGATCACCATGTCTACCTCATAGGTTGCTGGGAAAATCGAAAGCAGATGCTGGTGAAGCACATTACACAGAATTTGGCATATAGTAGTTGTTCAGTAAACATTGGTTTTCTCTAATTGAGAAAGTCTGGGAAAATATGGAGATAATGGCACAAAGTGAAGGGTAGCCCCAAGACTATTTGGTCCTTCTAGTTGAGTCATGGGAGACTTTGGTGGCTTTTGAACCAAGCCTTAGCATGTAGGGAATATTTAAAAGTGAGTGATGGAGATGGGAAAGGTGGGGAGCTCTCTTGGCAGATGAAATGGCACGAGCAAAGGCGGGGAGGCAGGGGTCTCCAGAGTAGAGACCTGCCCAGTTCAGCTGGAGTGGAAGATGTGTGGACGTGTGAGGGATGATCCACTACAATATTCTCCTTTCATGGATGGGGAAACTGAGGCCTAGAAATGTTAAGTGACTTGTTCAAACCCACATGTCTGCTCAGTGTCTGATCCAGCTCTTGAATCCAGAACTCAGTGACTCAAGGATTCTCCCCTTTGCCAAGCCGGAGGTTGGCCCCTTGCAGGTGAAAGCAGAGACCTGGACTGAAGGCATCCTGGGTCTTCAGAAGTTTGGTGTTTGTCTAATAGCCCAAGTCCCAGAAACTAAGCCTCAGGCAGGAAAGTAGGTAGCAGTTCCTTACTTCAAGTATCGATGGCTGCCAAGCCTAAGCTTTGACAGTAGATACTACTGGGGTGGGGCAAGGGAACCCCATCAGGCCTGGGGGTTCAAAGGTGGGGCTCCACCTCTGACTGGAAATCCGGCATTAGACAGGTGTGAGGTCCTGGAAAATGTCCCATGAGACTCTGGGAGTTTTCTGGCCTCTGGTAAGAGTTGGGGTTATTAATCCATAATTTACAAATGAGAGGGTAAGATTCAGAGAGACCAAAACCCCTGAAATTTAATCAAACTTAATATCACAAATACATATATATAATTCCTATTACATAACTCTAATTATATTCCCCTATACCTTCTAAGGAGGGTAGATGCTGATAAATGAGGCCCTTCATTCTCCCAGCCACTTGGATGGGTTTGGATGCACACTAGCAGAGGAGCAGAGAGCTGGAGCTCCCGAAGGCCACCTATGAAGGAGAGCATGGGCAAAGAGCAGTGATGGGGGGCCATCATTATAAATCACATCACAGAGTGTGAATCGGCAGCAACTTGAGTCAGTAATTCCTAGATCTGGGCCAGGTGTGGTGGCTCACACCTATAATTACAGCACTTTAGGAGGCCAAGGTAGGAGGATTGTTTGAGCCCAGGAGTTTGAGACCAGTCTAGGCAACATAATAAGAACCTGTCTCTACAAAAATGTTTAACAAAAAAAATGAGCCAGGTGTAATGGCGTGCTCCTGTGGCCCCAGTTAAGAGGCTAAGGTGGGAGGATCGCTTAACCCCAGAAGGTCGCGGCTGCAGTGAACTGTGATCATGCCACTGCACTCCAGCCTGGATGACAGGGCAAGACCCCACCTAAAAAATAATAATAATAATAATACTTCCTGGATCTGAGGTCGAAAAAGAAACCCCAAGAAGGTAGCCTAAATTTTTTTTTTTTTTTTTTGAGATGGAGTCTTACTCTCATCTCCCAGGCTGGAGTGCAACAGCACAATCTCAGCTCACTACAGCTTCCGCCTCCCAGACTCAAGCAATTCTCCTGCCTCAACCTCCTTACTAGCTGGGATTAAAGGCGTTCTAAGAGAGATCAGTATTAATCAGGATAGGCTAGAGTTATGCTATAGTAACAAACGGTCCCAAATCTCACTGACTAGGAGTTTTTCTCTATCTCTTTATCCCTCATAAAATGCACTGCAAATCAGGTGATTCTCCAAGGCTGCTGTCTTCCATGTGTTAACCCAGTGATCCAGGTTGCTTTGATCTTGTGTCTCAACCGTGTCAACATGCTGCCTCCATGTTCTCCAGCAAAGAATAAGAGAAAGCTGGAAGGTCCTGCAGGGGCTTTTCACTGCTTCGCCTCAGAAGTTTCACATGTCAAGTCTACTCACTGTCCATTGGCCAGAACTAATCATAACGTCTGCCTAACTGCAGAGGAAGCTGGAAAGCATAGAATTGTCATGTACTCAGGAAGAAGAGGAGAGCTGGATATTGATGAACACTGGATATGACTGGGACCTCCTCTCCTTAAAAAATAAGTTAGGAACACTAGGGTTAGAGCAGTGAGTCCCAAAGTCTGAGTTACAGACTACCTTAACACTATTCTGAAAGCTTTGAGGAAAGGCACATTTCCAGGCCACCAGTGTGGAGAGTTACATTCTGTGGTCCAGGAATCCGTATTTTTGACAAGTCTCACAGACGAATGTGCAGAACCTGTAGGGCAGAAGGTCCTCTGGTCACGGGGCTAGGAGTTGCCTCAGAGAGCATCCTGGGTTTGAATCTTAAAAAAAAAAAAAAAAAAACTTCCAGGCAGTCCAGGTGCAGTGGCTCACGCCTGTAATCCCAGCACTTTAGGAGGCTGAGGTGGGCAGATCATCAGGTCAGAAGTTCGAGACCAGCCTAACCAACATGGTGAAACCCCATCTCTACTAAAAATACAAAAATTAGCTGGGCATGGTGGCACGGGCCTGTAATCCCAGCTACTCAGGAGGCTGAGGCAGGAGAATCACTTGAACTCGGGAGGCAGAGGTGGCAGTTAGCCAAGATTGCACCACTGCACCTCAGCCTGGGAGACAGAGAGAGACTCCATCTCAAAAAAAAAAAAAAAAAAAAAAAAA